AGAAATAGTCACAACAAAGTAAGAACAGTGATTCTTTGTTAAGCGGAGAATGTGCACTTGGCTTCTTTATACACAGTCATAAATTTTGTATGAGTATATGAAAACAACACATGCTCACTCTAGAAAATTTAGATAACATGGAAAATTTTTTGCAATAAAATAAATATTATTCTCAGCAACCCCAGCACCACATCTCTAGGGAAGAGATGGAGGGTCTTAATAAATACTCTTATCGTCAGCCAGGTAAACCCTACACGGAGTGCAGAAAAATGACCAAAATGCGTCCTTTCCTTTGGATTCTGGTCATGGCTCCCAGGTGGCTGAGTGATAAGGAATCTGCCTGCCAACACAGGAGACGCAGCTTTGATCCCTGGGTCAAAAAGATCCCCTGGAGTAGGAAATGGCAACCCACTCCAGCATTCTTGCCTGGAAAATTCCAATGCACAGAGGAGCTTGGCCGTTGCAGAGGAAGTTACAGTCCATGGAGTTGCAAAGTCGGACATGATGAAGCACGCATGCACATGGCTCCCAAGCACACTGCCCAGAGGCTCAGGGGTCAGGAAATGTCCCCAACTCCACTTAATTCCTCTATTTATCCATCTAACCAATGCCACTGTATGGCCATTCCATGCCAGTCCTCATGCCAGGAACAAACTGACAAACTTCTAGCTGCAACCCAACTTTACCCTCTGCAACAGAGCAAGACATGATCTCAGCTCATCAGACCCAGGCCAGCCTTGCTCCCAAGACCCAGGCTGCTGGGGGATCTGTCTGTCATGTTGACCGGATGAGTGGACCATCACCCACCTCCACGCTTGCTCTAAATACACAACTGATAGTTCTGTCTGTCCTTCCTATTTATTCAGCTAGGAAGGATATTGGGCACAAAAGGCAAAATTTCTGCTGACAGCAAAACCAGTCAAAGAAACATTTCTTTTTAGGATAACAAATGCTTTTGTGTTCCAGCAGAGAACAATGCTTCTGCAGTGTCTATTTATTCAGCTAGAAAGGGTATTGGGCACAAAAGGCAAAATTTCTGCTGACAGCAAAACCAGTCAAAGAAACATTTCTTTTTAGGATAACAAATGCTTTTGTGTTCCAGCAGAGAACAATGCTTCTGCAGTGTTTTTTTTTTTTTAATCAGGTCAATTATTTTATTGCTTTTAGCTTCTCAACCTTGCCCGATTGAGTGCTTGTTCTAGAATACTGAAGCTCCCCGGGACAGCACACTTTTCTAGTGACCTTCTCACTCCCCTCTAAAGAAAATCACTGCCCTACATTTTTGAAATCTCCAGGAAGGCAGAATACGTCTGGAGCAAACAGCTCTTAAAAGGCATGAGAGCAAATTATGAGATTTTTTTCCCCAGCAATAAAACACACACACACTTAAACATAAGATGCTGTTGTGCGGACATCAGAAGCAATTAACACCCAGTTATTTTCTTTTTAAAACATTCTCTGTGATTCTATAATTTGCCTTTTTTGTATAATTGCATAACCTTTGATCAGTTATCTTTTTTAGAAAGTTACTAGCAATGATGCCACTAAGAATACTTTTGAACCTTGACTGCTTACTTTACACTGGATACATGCATTGTCTTATCTAATCCTACAATAATCCTACCTTTGAGGTAGTTTCACTGGCCTACTGTTAGCCCCATTTTACAGATGAGGAAATTGAATTTCAGAGAGGCAAAGTAATCTGCCCAAGTTAGAAGTTTAAAGAACTGAGATTGAACACAGATGGTCTGACTCCAGAGTCTGCAAGCTTGATCTCCACATGATGACTGAACTTTGTATAAAAAGAAAAAACTACCTACTTGCAACAACAAAATAGAAATCACATCTAAACCTTCCACTTTGAAATAACAATTTAGCACCTTGACAGATATTCTTCCATTTTATTTTTCCTTTGCCTTTTTTCACTTACCAAATAATATTCTCTTATATTAACAGGCATATTTTCTATTCTGAGTACCCAGGACATATGTTAATTGGAAGCTCCATCTCCATGATCAGAGAAACCAAGGAAAAGAAGATATTACAACTGGATAAAAACCTCAAGGATGACAGTCAGGACTGGGAACAAGGATTAAATTTGGAGTTTTCTCTTTCCTTGGCTTCAGACAAAGCCTCTTGGTTTATTATGAGACATGGGAGGTTACAGACATCAAATGACCAAAGAAGAGGAAATTTAAAGGACCAGCAGCAGCTTTAACATGGCCATGGTGTTTGATGCCCTCTCACTGAGGGCCGGGGCAGTGCTGCCTCCTTTAAGTGCAAGCGGGCTTGACCAATAGAGTACAACAGAAGTGATGCCATGTGACTTGTGAAGTTGGGTCATAAAGACCATGCAGGTTCCCCTTGGCACACAGGAGCCCTGAGTTGCCATGAAAGGTCCAGCCACTCGCTGAGGCCACCATGCTGAAGGGGCCACCTGAGAGGCGCTGTGGCCAAGTGTCCCAGCTGAGCCCAACCTTCCGCCCATCCCTGCCCAGGGGCCAGCCCCAGATGCTGAAGTCTCCCCCACCTTTGGTTCTCCTGACTGACATCACACAGACACCAGCCCTTCTCACTGCATCCAAATTCCTGACCCACAGAATCCATGATTCTTTCTTATGCATAATAGTGTTCTTGGGGGTTGGGGGACAAATAAATTGAGAGACCAGGACTGATATATACACACTACTACATATAAAATAGATAAGTAATTAGAAGCTGCTGTATATTATAGTTGTTAATTGTTAAAGATGGGTAATGGGTAAATGCTGGTCCATTATACAACTGCTTATGTTTGCATACTGGAATTTTTTGGGGTTTAAGTGTTTCCATAATAAAAAGTAAACATCTGAGGGGAAAAAGAAAACCTACTATAGAGCATAAGGAACTCTATTCAATATTCTGCAATGATCTGTATGGGAAAAGAATCTAAAAAAGTGCGGATATAGGTATATGAATAGCTGTTTCACTTTGTGGTACACCTGAAACTAACCCAACGTTGTGAATCAACTACACTCCAGTAAGAATTCATCTAAAAAACTAAGTGCTCATTATTTTATGACACTAAGTTTGATATGGTTTGTTTCATGGCAATGGATTCCTGGAACAAAATTTGGCACCTGGAAATAGAGATCAACCTAAACAAACATTGAGCTGAGTTCTGAGCTACTCTGCTTGCATCAAGGCAGCACAAAACCAAAAATTCCCTAAAGGTCCCAACAGTTCCCCGGGCCTACCATGCCTGGGGCTCTGGCAGGCATGTTTGGCTAGGAAAGGGCATCAAAGGGGCATAATTTTCAATAAGTTTTTTTTTTAAGGCTTTTGTAGCAATATAGAATGAATATGTATAGAAAATCTATTGGGTTCATTAACAAGGGGACTATGAAGCACAAAGAAGTACATGAGGACCTAGTGTTTACAGGTACCTAAGAGCATCGAGATAAGATTGCTGGGTGAGATACAAAACCAGTGAGCCTTCTGCAGGGCAAGGCAACCACGTCCTCCTGGGTTTCTTTGCTAACAGAAATTATATTCATCTCTACCAGACACAAATTTGCCAGTTAGAATGTTCACTTCAGATTCTGGACCCTAATGAATAGTAATAAGAAAGTCGAACAAAGGCAAGGTTCCTTAGAGAATTAAATATAAATAACTCCTGGGCTGGCCTGTTGGTCGAGGCTGTGGTGTGATATTGAAAGGACCAAGAGACATCCATCTGCCTGTCTCTCAAGCTTTTCGTCATCTTCCTACTGAGAGTCCTGGGAGCACCTTGCCACCGTGACCTCACATCGCCATTTGTCCTTGGAACGCTGGGACTCCTTCCTCTAAAACTACTCCTATCCTGACATCATGAACTTGGAGTTTTTGCCTGCCCTCTGTCACTGTCCTCCCAGAGACCTTGGGCTCCCAGTCCTTCTCCTAGGCCCCAAGTTCTCCCCCACCTCCCCTGTTCCACTAGAATCTTCTGGCCCCCAAGGTTCCTGGACCCTCAAGGTTCTCATACACCAACTAAAACATTCACAGTTCTGAAAACAAAGCCTCCAAATCATGAGGGAAAGACAATTGCTATTAATATAGATTTTGATGCTTAACATTTGTACCTGTTCACTGACCAGTCATACCCAAAATATTCCAGTACATCAACACCAGTCTGTCAGGGTGGAATGGAGGGAAGGTGGGAAGGGAGGCTCGAGAGGGAGGGGATATATGTATACTTACAGCTGATTCACATTACTGTACAGCAGAAACCAACAGAAGACTGTAAAGCAATTATCATCCAATTTTTTAAAAAATGAATAAAGTAAAAAGCCAAAACAAACAAGTCTGATTCTTTCTTGTCCATTTTGAACAGGCCTATCTGAACCACGTACAGAGCACACCAAGGAGTCAGACCCATCCTAAAATCAACAAGCTCCTTCCTGTCAAAAGACTGCAAAACCACAATAATGGAGAAATATCTTCTCACATCTTTGCAAAGCAAAGCATCTCTTTGATGTGAGGCGGGGTTCGTGGGGGGTACATTTCAGAAGCTGGAGTTTCCAGGAGAGGAGGCCTCCTAAGGTCAGACCACCAGACCGTGGGCCTGCTTCTCTCCTCCCTGTGCCCACCCTGGAGGCTCCCAAATGCCAACAGGGGCCTCCTGGGCTCCCCAGTTCTCAGCTCCTGCCGCTGGCACTTTCACCCCTGCAGCATGACTCTGGGGAGAACGGACCAGGCGCTGTGGACCTGACCAAAACTCCAGCCCATTCCCCTCTGCGTAGCTACCTGGCTGTCCTGCCATGTACCCAAGAGCCCAGTGGGTACCAGGCTGAGCTCCCCAACTACAGAGGGTGGAGAGCCGGCCTGTCAAAGGGTGCAACGGGGAGCAAGAAGTTGGAGGGCTCACAGGTAAAGGCCAGCCAGCCCCCGCCTCCCGTCTAGCAGAGACCCTTCTCACTTAAGAATGGCCGAGATGCTGAGCAGGAAAGAGAGCCCGCTTGGCCTGTGACCCCCGAACAAACCTGGAACAGCATCTTTCTCTGTGGAGGCCTTGGAGCACGCATCTTAGGGTCGGCCGTGCAAGTTCCAATGTTCCCGGGGGGTCGAGGTGCAGGAGACGCCCTCTAAGACTCCCTTTCACCCCTTTACAGGACGTAACCTGCAGCCTGACGAGGGGCGGCGACCCCGAGGTGGTTTTGTTGGCCAGGCCACACAGACTCGGCCAGGCTGTTGTTCAGAACCTCCTGGGGGACTCTCAAAGGGCCTCCGTCCCCACACGATGCCCTCCGGGCGAGGGGTGGGCCTCAGGCTCTCCTGGGGGTTCTCTTGGCAAGAGGAAAATCTGGCCAGGACCCCGTGACCAGGCAGGGGGTTCGCCGTTCCAGCTCGCTTCCGCTCCCTTCAAGCCCAAGTCCCCACTCACTTCCGGCTTCTCATCCGGGAACTTTCCGTTGAAGGCCCTCCAGGCCTCCCGGGGCCCCCAGCTGCTCCTCGTCCTCCCTCCCCTCTCCTGGAACCCGAGGAAATTCCACACAGCCTGGCCTTCTGGGTCACCCCTCACCTGCCTCCTGTCCTCCCCGCCCGCCACCTCAGCCACACCTCCCAGGGGCCACTTCCGTTTCTTGGAAGATGGGGGGCGTCTGACGAGACTCAGCTTCCTGGAAGGTGGGGGGCGTCTGACGAGACCCATGGGGCTCTGGATGCAAATTCCCAAACACCTGCACCTGGGCGCCCGTAACTAGCAAGCTCCAGCTGACATCCTCCCTCCCCTAAACTTCTCCATGGCTCTCTAGTTGGGCTACTGTCCCCTCCCCCACCATCTGCTCTGCCACCCAGCTGGAAATTTCAGGGTCACTGTAGCCTCCTCCCACTCCACTCCCCACGCACCTCCTCCCAACCTCCTCCTGAATCCTGTCTACATCCCTCTGCCTGCCTACCCTGTTCGGGTACCTGCCTTCTGCCTCCTGCCCTCTTTCCCTGGTGTCCTAACTGGGGTCCCTGCCTCATTTTTTTCTTCATCTGGTCTTTGCATCCTACCCCAGATATATCTTCCCCAGGTCAGATCTGGTCATATTCTTCCTGAGTATTTTTTAATGACTGGAAGGCCCTTTGATTAAGATCCAAGTGCCGACCCAGCATTCAAAGCCACGTTCTCTCTGACTCCTGTTTCCCTTTCTAGCCTGCTCTGACTGTCTGGCTGTGCCGACCACACACCCCACTTCTTGGCATCATCCCTGGTGGTGCATCAAGCATCTGGAGCTCCCAGGTCCCCACTTATGAAGCATTTTTGCCCAAACTACTTAACCCAAGTGTTACCAATCCTTTAGACCTAATTTCCAGAAAGAGTGAGGGGAGAGGGACACTTGGCAACCATGTGGTAAATCTAGAAGGAGAAGCAAACAGTCTACACAACAGCTGACCTGATCACTTTAAAAAACCAATGTCATGGGGGGTTGGGGCAAGGAGCTGGAAGAACAGAATATTATTGGAAATTGAAAGAGTAAAGAAACATAATCCACCAATGTCATGTGATCTTTCATTGGATGTTGGTCTGAAAAAACACTATAAAAGACATTTTGGAGATGGAAATTTGATTATAGACTGAGTATTAGCTGATGTTAGGGAATTTTCGTTAATTCTCACTAATTGTGTTTGGTGTGATGATGAGTTTTTTGGTTATGTAGAAAATTATCTTTATTTTTCTGAATGTCCATGCTGAAGAATTCAACGTGAATTGCCACAGTGTCTGTAATTCATCTTGCAATGTTTCAGGAAAAAAAATATATATATATATTCATATATAAAGTCAATATGACAAAATACTAGCAGTTATGAGCCTAGGCAGGGAATAGAGATGTTCATTGTCTTGAAATTTTTCTGCTTGTTTTTAAAATGTTTTAATAAAAAGTTAGAAGCACCTGGAAGGTGGGGGGAGCTGAGACCCCAGCATGTGTTCTGTTCTGTAATCTCCCAATCAAAATATATAAAACATCTTGTCTCCTTGGAGGGGGAGGGGGAGCAATTCCTCCTCCAAGTGAAAGGACTCAGCTGCCTGGCATTCAGAAGCAATGGCACATGCTTCCTTTGTAGCAGAAACTGTCCCCACAACTTCAGCAAACTGCCTGAGGACAGACTCGTTTCCAGAAGAGCTTGCATCTTTCACTGGGGATAATTACATCTTGAGCCATCTTTTTAAACAGAAAGCTGAAGGAGCTGTCATTGGTCCAGTCATCTTCTTCCTTCCAGAAAAGGAAGGTAGAAGGGAAAAGGTAAGCTTTCCCTGCTGAGTTTTCTCTAGTTTTCCTCAGAATTCCATGAGGATGGGAGGGAGGCTGGTTGAAGAAGAGACAGACCTGGGTGTAACTGCAGGCTTCAGGGGTGACTGACAAAAAACAGGTTCTGTGGCTAGAGTGGCTTTGAAGACCTGGCCACTCCAAAGCCATTTGCTGTGACAGTCTGATCCTAACTGGGAGCCCAGGGTTGAATCCAGCCCACTGACATGTCTTATTTGGCCCTTTGTGGTGTTTTTTTTTAAAAAAAAAAAAACAGCCCACTTCTAAAAATTAAACACAACATACATATTAAAGTACACACATTACTTGCATGGGTTTAACGCACTGTAATCAGCCCCCAGAACCCACTATGCACCCCCAAAAGCAATCTTTTTCCAGACTTTTATTACTGTGGGTTAGTCTTGCTTGCTTTTGATTCTCACTGTATCTGCTCATTTGTGTCTGGCTCCATTCACTCAACATAATGGCTGTGAGACTCTTCCACGTTGTTGCAGATGTTGTGGTGTGTGCATCCTTGTTGCCTTGAGGTATTTCACTGTGGGAACACATGTGGTTTGTTTACGCACTCTCCTGTTAGTGGGGGTTGCAATTTGCCGCTGTTATAGCAGCACTCTGACAAGCCTCCTAACCCATGCCTTCTGGTGAGCATATGTGCACGGTCCTCATGGGCATACACCTAGGAGCGGAATTGCCGGGTCAGCAGATATGCACATATCTGCTGGCACTTTATAAATTTCTCATGAGTTGGCAACATTCAGAACATGAGAGAGTTAGCGTAAAAATCAGGGTTACAGCTCTCCCTTCAAAGTGTAAAGATTCCACAATATGGGACCCGCATTCCACGTCTGTGACTGGTGTTTTGGTTCCCCCACAGTCCTCACCCAACCTGCCTCATGCCATCCCTCTTGGCTTCTGGAGGCACCTTGACCTTGAGATTCTCAGAACGTGGGAAATGATCCGAGTGTGCTTTTACTTCAAGTCCTTAATAAAGATTACTTGGCTGCCTCAGTTTCCCCAATGAGGTCATGCTGAATGACCCCAGGGGCATAAAGACCTTGATCTGGTCACTCCAGTGGTGGGGGTTGGGGCTGCTGATAAATGACCTCCTTCCCAGATGGCTCCTCCTCCCGCTGGCACCAAGATGCCTATTACTTTAATTTAAGCAGAAGTTTTTTTGAATCAATATACATCCATGGTTTTTAAAAATCAAACAGTACAAAATGATATAGAGAAAAGGAAATTTCCCCTCTATTTCACTCCTTCCCCAAACCCTGGGGTTCCCTCCTCAGTTGTTCAGTCACTCAGTCATGTCTGACTCTGTGCCACCCCATGGACTGCAGCATGCAGGCTCCCCTGTCCTTCACTATCTCCCTGAGTTTGCTCAAACTCATGTCCATTGAGTTGGTGATGCCATCCAGTCATCTCATCCTCTGTCGTCCCCTTCTCTCCTGCTCTCAATCTGTCCCAGAGGCAACCCCAGTTTATAAGTTTTACCCATTTTCTATTCTACACACACACATACACACACCTCTTGTCTACTTCAAACTAGTGCTTTGAGAATGATCTGTTCTGCACCCTGCACTTTACCCATCTTGCTGGCCCTTCCATGTCAGTACGTATAGATTCTGCTTCTTTCTAACAAGATGGAGTTTTTTCTTGCCTTTATGACCACCATTTATTAACCAACCCCCTAATGAGGAATATTTCAGTCATTTCCAGTCCGCTGCAATCACAGACTATGCTGTGATTATACTGTCTTTGCAGACATGTGCAAGTATATCTGCAGAATAAATTCTTAGACATATGACTGGGGGCAAGAGGGCATTCAAATTTCTTATTTTGATCAATAGTCCCAACTTGCCTTTTGAAAGGGTCATATGAGGAGAATTTCTTGGTGATCCAGTGGTTAGGACTCCACCCTTTCACTGACGGGCAGTATGAATTCCATCCCTGGTCGGGGAGCTAATATCCAGGAAGCCAGTCAAAACCAAAATGAAACAAAAGACACGAAAGGGTCAGTTTACACTGCCTCCAGAAGCATCTGAGTGAGCTACTGTGGTCTCTGAAAAACGTGTATAAATCTGTAAGTTCTGATTTCACTGACGTGGCCCAGTCATTGGAGTTTTTACAACCTCACCAGAGTGATGCTAAAACATTCCAGTGTGGAGAACCGTACCTCTCATCGCCAATGGCTCCCCTAGGCCAGGGAAACGTCTGTAGCCCTCGGCAAGGTAGAGAATCCCATCATTTTTGATTCCCACCTGCCTGTCTACTCTCTTGCATCATGAACTCACCACCTGCCCGTCAAGGCTTACCAGGGGGGTCCTGCTTGGGGAGCGTGTCCCTGGCTACCTGATGAGCTGTGCGTGCTGTGATGCACACAGCAAAGCGGCACAGGCTTAGAAGAGCCAAGATGCTCTGTTCTCAGCATGGAGTCTCGTGATAGGAGTATTGACACCACAGTAATAGGCAAATGCTACCAACCAGCATTTCCGCCCACCCCCACCAGAAAGCCAGGTATTATCATTTAACAGCCCGCCACCATTTATTTGCCTCCTCTGCTCACTCGCAACATCCTGGGATCTGCTCTTCTCATGCTCTGTTACCAGGAGACTTGAGCTCCTGTAATTACAGATAACGGAGATGATGAAAATAATATATTCTCATTGAGCACTTACCATATGCCAGGCTCTGAAGTCAGCACTTCCCATGCATTTACTCATTCACACCTCCTAATCACCCTGTGAGGTAAGGACTATCATCACCCAATCTCTCCCGAGGCACAGAGAGGGAAAACGATTTGCCCAAAGTCACACAGCAAGTGAGCAACCGCCGTGGCAGAGTAGATCTCGGTAAGCGTATGTTACATGGATGGATGGACCTTAACTTCTGGAAGCAGGTACTGGCAGGCCTGGCGGTGTGGACAAGAAAGGACATTTTCCTCAACAAATTATAAGTATCTCTGATGCCTGGTTTGTTACCTGCCTGCCCCTCCCCGAGTTAGGGTTTGTATTAGTTTGCTGTTGTTCCTATAATAAATGCCACAAAACTGGCAGCTTGAAATGGCAGACGTTTATTATGTCATGGTGCTGGAGGTCAAAAGTCCAAAATGGGTCTCATTGGGCTTAAAGATATCTACATCTTAATCCCTGGGACCTGCAAATATGTTACAGATGTGGCAAGAAGAACTCTGTAGATATGATTGAGTTAAGGATCTTAAAATCTGAAGATTATCCTGGATTATCCAGTGGGCTCGAGGTAATCATGAGGGTCCTTATAAGAGGGAGGCAGGGGGCTTAGGGAAGGGGGACAGAAGCAGAGGTCAGAGTAACACAGCCACCAGCCAAGGAATGTGGGTTGCCCCCAGGACCGGAAACAGACTCTCTGCTAGAAATTCCAGCAGGAACATAGCCCTGACAACGCATTGATATTGGCCCCTAACATCCATTTGGCACTTCTGGCCTCCAGAGCTACAAGACAACACAGTTGCATTCTTTTAAGCTACTATATCTGTGTGTTTCCTTCCAGCAGCCCTAGGAGACTCATGCGTGGTCACAGGCCGTCCCTTCATCACAAAAATATGGCAGGTGGCAGTCATTCAGAAGATAGCAAGGATGGGCTGGCACAGGCTGTCCTGTATCCCAGATTCCCTGGAGGCTGGAAAGGGATGGAATGGGGGCCGGGCTACATTCCCTGGGTAGCTGAGGTCAAGTATGTACAACAGGGGGGAATACTGTGGGCAGGAAGGCAGTGGCATTAAGTTAAATGGGGATCAGGACTTTACCAAGTTCTGTGGAAAAACTCGGTGAATGCCCCGGGCCAGGACACCAGGCTAAAGTCAAAGGCCCCATAGCCTGGACAAAAAGACAGTGCTGAGACAGCACTGGGGCTGTGGCAAGAGCACTGGCCTGCCACTGGCTGGCCTGGAGAGCTCAGGCTCTTTCCGCCCTTTTGGGGTCTCTTGCAGGTGACTTGTTAAGGTAATAATCATAATAACAACAAGTACTTAAATGGATTCGCTTGGTCCCAGACACTCTTCTTCTTCGGAAAGAAGCTCTTCGGAAAGAGCTCAGGCTCTTTCCGCCCTTTTGGGGTCTCTTGCAGGTGACTTGTTAAGGTAATAATCATAATAACAACAAGTACTTAAATGGATTTGCTTGGTCCCAGACACTCTTCTTCTTCGTGCTCTGCCTTGTAAACATAAACGGACTTGTCCAATACTCAAACCAATAAGTAGGTGCTGTCATCTTTATTTCACAGGTGAGGGAATTGAGGCACAGAGAGGTTAAGAAACTTGCTGAAGGTCACCCAGCAGGGAAGTGGTAAATTCTTTTTCTTAATTAAAAAAAAAATTTGGCCACACCACACAGCGTGTGGGATCTTAGTTCACTGACCATGGATTGAATCCACATCCCCTGCTTTGCAAGCAGGGGCTCTTAACCACTGGACCACCAGGAAGGTCCCAGAAGTGGTAAATTCTTGACTGGAACCCATGCACTTCAGATCCAAAGAGAACTGAGAGGTAGGGGAACAGGTTGGGGGAGATTTGGGCAGAGATGTTAAATCAAGATGAGTAGTAATGAGCTGCAGGAGGTGGGGAGACAGAGAGAGAGAGGAGGGGCAAAAGCCAGCAGAAGCTGGGAAGATGGTTTTGGAGTCGGGTCTAACAGAGGCGCTGGAGCAGCCGTGAGGTCTGAGAGAACCGGGGTGGAGAGGGTCAGGGGAAGGGGAGGGGCATCTCCGTCACTGACGGGCACCCTGGGGTCTCAGAGTGGGCCGAGTGTGGGGACTGGGCCTGGTGGGGCCACAGTATTGATTTGGGTTACACAGACTCACTGTGGGAAACCGATCCGACTGAAGTTGCCATGGTGAGGCAGAGTCTCATGCCCCCGTCCTGCCCTTCGTCACTCCCCCAATTCCAGCCTTTTGTGTAGAACCCTTGGGTTTTGGGCAATATCATTTGAAAACTGCTACCCTGCCTCCATCCCATCAGCTCCTCCGCTCCTGCATGGATTCCTCACTGCCCGGACCACAGAGAGCCCCCGGAGTCCCCACTCTGCTCCTGCCACCCCCTCCAGGTAGCTTCGGAAGGCTCCAGCTTGGACTTCCTCACTCCCAGATCTTTGCACAGAACTTAAAGTCTCTGTTCAGTGCACATTCCAGCCAGCAAGTGACCTTGAGCAAGCCTCCTCCTTGCACCTCCAGGCGTCATCTGCAGAATGGAGCCGATAATAACAACTCCCCTCTGGAAGCCAAGAGACTGGGCCTCAGAACCTCTTAAGAAAATTAAGAAGAGCCGGTGTACACTGATCGCCTACATGAGAAAATGCTGTTGCAATTTTAGCCGTCACCGTTTCGACTGTCCTCGTTTGACCAGTGAGAAAACTGAGGCCCAGAGAGGTGAAGTCACCGACCAAGGACACACAGCAAGGTAGCGCAGAGTTGAAACCAGGACACAGGCCCTAGAACTGAGTCTCTTCCTCTTTCCCCTGAGTGTGCAGCCAAACCCACAGAAGGAACCTGCCATGTGCCTTCTGGCCAGATTCTCCCCAAACCCCCTCTCCTTCACATATTTTTTACAGATAAGGAAACTGACGCTCGCCTGCCCAAGGTCACCCAGCCACTCACGCGGGAGCCAGGGAGCCAGGTATGTGTGACTCCGAGCTCATGCCCGGCCCTGACCCATCACGCAGCCTCCAGGGCTCCCACCCAGTGCTCAGATGCTGGGTTTCTCAGAACCTGTCCGAGGTCTGGGCTGGTTAAAAGCAGAAAAAGTTCCTCTTGCAGCCTCTCCCTGAGCCCCTCCCCATCATCAACACATCCCCAGGAGCCTCAGGATGCCGGGGACAGATAAAGGCAGATGCCCCAGCCCCTGGCTGCCCTCCACTCCTTCCGAGTTCTGTTCCTCCTTGGAGGGGAGGGAGGACAGCTCTCCTTGCCTTCCAGGCGGTTGGCAGAGCAGAGGCTGCTGTTCCTGCCTGCTGCCTGGCTGATGGAGAGATTATTTCTAAGCCCTTCCCATTCCCGCCCCCCCTTCTCTTGCAGGACCACACTGGCTGTCCCCGTGGGACTCAGTACAGAGCCTGCCGCTGAAGCAGGACAGCTGGCCTGGCTCCCTCCCACCACGAACCCCTCAACCCTCACCTCTAGCGGGGAAAGGGGCTTCTAGGTCCTTTCAAAAAAAAAACAACAACAAACCACCCCACTCCTCTTGGGCTTTTCTGCAGCTGCTGGAGAGAGAAATGCAGAATGAATGGACTTCTGGTTTCTGAAGGAGGCAAGGGAAGAAAGGTTGAAAACTAACTCAGCCAGAAACTGCTGTGTTTGGGATTTTTCTTTTCTTTCCCTTCATCTTCACCACAAACCCATCTCTTCCCTGGGCATCGAGACATGGGCTCCTCTTGCTTTGCCTGGCAGAAAGACACCTGGAAATGGGCTCCCTGAGACAGGAGGGTGAGTTAAACTTCAGGGGAAGAAGTTAGTATTTGCTGCGGGGGTGGGGAGTATACAGGATGCTCTTAAACATCCCTTCCAAAGTGCTGTTTTTTGTGAATACCTTTCCCACGCTCTGGAAGGAGGTTTGTGTGCCGGCTCTTCCTGGGGGGCAGTGGGTTACAAAGTTAGGTTTGTGCAATGAATAAAGAAAGGAAAGTTTTGGGGGGGGGTTCTAGAAAGAGACCCTACTGGGAGACAGAGTCCCTGGTTGTACTGGGACTCATCGTGTGACCTTGGACGAGTCACTTCAGCTCTCTGGGTCTGGCTTTTTCACTAGGAAAACAAGAACGCTTGGGAAGGCTCCCTTGATTTCAAAATACTCTTTTCTCCGCAGGCTGCTCATCGTTTTCTGGCCGTACATTGTAAATGAAGTAATGCACGCAGAATAACAGACCATTGTGTGCTGAGCAAGTGTGAAATGCATAGGCTGTGATTCAACTCTTTGCTGCCTGCTGGAATCCAACTGGCTCTGAAATTGAGACAACTTTTATTTCCATTCAGTCGCTGAGTTTTCCTCTTGATTGGAGTGCATCTTGGAATGTAAGGTTATAGGTGCTTCAGAAGCAGCTCTGGCTAGAATGAATAGCACAGAAAAAGGTTGTGGGAGGCAGAGGATGAGAAATATTGTGGCGATGACTTTCTTTAATGCATGGGCTAAACCTGAAACCCTTCCTCTAAGTCAAGCATCCCAAATAGGTCTGAAACGGATAGAGCATTAGAGGCGCCTTCATTTCACAGATGACAAGACCAAAGCCCAGAGAGGGGGAGTAACTGATGCACGGTCACACAGCAAGGTGGCTGAGACAAGTAACCCATGAACACAGAGGAGCACTGTCATTGATAGCAAAGTCCTCTAAGTGGGAAAGCAAGAAAGAGGGCTGAGGCAAAGGTTGTGGGGCTTCTCCTGGGAGATGCTGTGCCAAGCACAGTTCCTCATTACTTAACTTTTCTGGGCCTCAGTTTCCTCATCTGTAAAATGGAGATGTTAATGTCTACCTCAGGGGGTTGTTGAGATGACTTAACATAGGAGGGGCATGTGGATCAGTGCCTGGCATGTCAGAATCGTCTAGAAGAGTGCTTAATATACACCTCACATGTATTATTGCATGTAACCCTCACTGTGCCCAGTGAGGTGGGCACCCAAACTGCCCCAGCTGAGCAAGTGACGCAAAGGATTCAACGAGGCTGAGAAACCCAGCTGGGGTGGCAGTCTGTAAGGGATTACAACCCAGCAATGAAGTTGAGAAACTTTTACACTCTTAAGCTCTATTTTCAATAACTGTACTTTGCAAGGTTGGGAGGAGTCTTGTCATTGGCATAAGGATGCTGAGATCAGAGAGGTTAAGCTACAGGCCCAAGATCACACAGTCTGGCAGTGACACAGCTCTGACTTGTCCAGCTCGGGACCGAGCTCCCAGAGTCCCAGTCCACCTAATGCTTGTTCCAGGGAGATTCTTCTGAGATATAAATAAATGCTCCATCAGAGAAGGGATGTCATCATGTCCTTTCATTCACTGATAGATCTCAGGTGTGTAGTAGGTACTCAGTAAATCTGTGTTGGGTGAAAGATTAAAAGGATAAAGGGTGCAGGTGAGGGAAAGCAGACATGAGGCGATGTGGTCTAGGACTCTGCCCTGAGACTGATGGTTCCTCCCTCCTCTTGCTCTTGTCCTTCGGGCGCCAGGACTTCTTCCGCAATATCCATGCCTTCCCGAGACAGGGGCCTGCATGCCGGACACCATCACTTCCGCCCCTGCAGCCCCTTGAGTCCCTTCTTGTCGGGCCCCGTGGAGCCGCCGTCCATCAAGGGCATTTACTACCGCAGGGCCCGGAAGGTGGGCGCACTGGATGCCTCCCCGACGGCGGACCTGAAGAAGGAGATGCTGGTCAACGTGGGGGGCCGGCGGTACCTGCTTCCGTGGAGCACGCTGGACGAGTTCCCGCTGAGCCGCCTGAGCAAACTCCGCTTCTGCCGGAGCCACGAGGAGATCGCGCAGCTCTGCGATGACTATGACGAGGACAACCAGGAGTTCTTCTTCGACCGGAGCCCCAGCGCTTTCGGGGTAATCGTGAGCTTCCTGGCGGCTGGCAAGCTGGTCCTTCTGAGGGAGATGTGCGTGCTGTCCTTCCAGGAGGAGCTGACCTACTGGGGCATCGAAGAAGCCAACCTGGAGAATTGCTGCCTGCGGACGCTGCTGCGGAAGCTGGACGATCTGGCCGAGCTGCGCCGGGAGGAGGCCCTGCAGCGGCAGCGGGAGGCCAGGCGGCCCACCGTGCACACGTCCCGCTGGGGGCTCTTCATGAGCCGGCTGCGCGAGATGGTGGAGAACCCGCAGTCTGGGCTCCCGGGGAAGGTCTTCGCTTGTCTGTCCATCCTCTTCGTGGCCACCACGGCGGTCAGCCTATGTGTCAGCACCATGCCCGACCTGAGGGCGGAGGAGGACAAGGTGAGTGGTCCATCCCTCCATCAGGCGTGGGTGCCCGGGGCCGTGGGACTGGGGGCCCACGGAAACGTTTTCATGTCTTTTCAGACAAGAAGGCAAGAAATGAATATGATCCCGTGTGGATTGTGTTCATTTTCAGACCAAGGCAGTTGTAAAAGATATTTTATACATTTTTTGTTTTTTGAGAAAGAAGCACATGAAGGGGACCCATGAAAGTCAGGAGGGACCCCGCCCCGAGAGCAAACGCTGGACATTGTGGTCTTAATGGACTGAGCTCGCCCAGCCCTGCCTCTCCTAGCACTGAGAGCCGAGTGAGTCACTCCAACCTCTCTGAGCCTCAGGTTCCTCCTCCATGAGACACCTGGTGTCACTGTGAAGGCTCACGCGCTCAGTGCTCCCCTCATGTGTTAATTGAGCAGTTATTCTGTGCTGAGTTCTTGACCAGGTCCAGATTCCCTCCCTCCTTAGCCAACCTTCTCATGGGCATCTCAGCTCTGTAAACTGAGGCTCGGGGCACTTAGCTTCTTGGGAGTAATCTAGGGAAGATGCCGATGACAGAAGAGATCCTCAGCCCTCGTTCCTGACCCTCTCAGTCAGGCCCTCCCTCCAGGGAACTCATGGAAGAGTCGATCCAGAAATGACCCTGCCCCAGGAGGTCGGGGCAGAAACATCTGCTTGCCCACTCCTGCCCTCCCTGGTAGCTCAGTGATAAAGAACTGAGTGGTAAGGAACTGTCTGCCAACGCAGGAGCTATAAGAGATGTGGGTTTGATCCCTGGGTTGGGAAGATTGCCTGGAGGAGGGCATGGCAACCCACTTCAGTATTCTCACCTGGAGAATCCCACGGACAGAGGAGCCTGGTGGGCTACAGTCCATGGGGTCACAGAGAGTTGGACAGGACTGAAATGACTTAGCAGGCCCTGTCTTTCCAGGAAGCTGTGAGATAACCCTCCCCCCAACCCCCATCACATACCCCAAGGGGTCAGATGGTCTGAAACGTGAGTTAAAAACCTCGCATTTTGTTGGGAAGGTTATTGGAGAGCTTCAAACTGAGAATTGGACTGTTTCCTAAGTTAAAATGTTGCTCTATAATCTTCCGTGGCTACCCATCATCTGACTCATGGAGCTTACATTACAGCAGAGAGAGCGAGCCGATCATTTAAACATATACACAAGGTTATGCAGGCTGTGGATGGTTTATAACCAGTGTCAGTTGACCTAAGTTCTCATCCCTTAAACATGTATTTCAGGGACGATCAGAGAAGTTTCCATATAGAGAAGACTTAGATGGAGAACCAGTCAGTGCTTCACACCAAGTAGGCTCTCGATAAATATTTGTTGAATAAAATATTAAAATATCTTGCCCAATCTATACACGTTTTGTCATAAAGCAAACCAACCAAAATGTTTTGACTTTCAAACAGCTTTTTTCCCCATAGAGAGGACTGTAGCTCTAATTGTGGACTTTTTTTTTTAGTTCTTTAGCACAAAATTATGTGATTTAAGAATTTGCTTGTTCACTGAAATATTTATATGTGGACACTGCAGTCAAAAGATTAGGACAAAGTAAGGAGCCTCAGTCTCCTGTGCTCCAAGGGTGCCCTGGATCCTAGTTGCTGAAGAAGGACCCCTGGATTTTTCACAAGCCTGTTCCTCTTAGGGATTTTCAGGGAGCCAGGATTTAGACTGTGAAGAGAGACAAGCTCTTTACAAAGCTTAATGCTTTTAAAATTACCCAGGGTATGAACCCAGATTGGTGTGACAGGGACCTGGAAAATTCAATTAGAGGTGAGTGAGAATCCTGTAGAAGTCGTTTCTAGCGGGGAGTGAGAGAGGTGGTGTCCCCAGTTCAGCTGCAAGCTCCATGCACCTGGGAAGCCACCACTGGGTGCTCTGCCTAGAGAGGGGCCACAAGGCCCTGCCTTAAAAAAAAAAAAAAAAAAATGTGTGTCTATGTCCCTGTTCTGATGGTAATTCAGAGAGCCTGGAGGCTGAGGACCAGGCGGGCTTTGTTCTTTCAAACCATGCCCTTATATTTACATAAAAAGATGATGTTCTTTCTCGGCCACACATGCCTGGTATTTCATATTTGGCCGCTGGGACATCAGTCTGAAAGCAGCGATTCAGCCCCGGCTGCAAAGCTGGGCAGCTGCTTCTGGGGACAGACAGTGCCCAGGAGGTGTGGGGGCGTGAGTCATTGTCCCAAGGGGACATGACCCACAGAACTCCTCCATCAAACATAGAGAAGGTGTCACCCTGGGATGGAGAATCAGTACACATGCAAAGAAAGCACTTTCCTTCCCTTTTTCTTCTAGCTTCTTACAGCAATATCCCTTAAGTAAACTTGGCAGTTGAGGAGCAAAGTCTGTGCCCAAGATTGCAAATTAAAATGGAAGAGGGAGGAAGTAGATGGACAGGAATGACCAAGCCAAGTACCTAAAGCCCCTCCAGAAACATTTGGACTTCTCTGGGTTCCCTGGCAGAGCTCAGCCCCAAAGGAATGAGAGAACTGATGCTTATTAAGTGCCCTTCAGGAGGCTGGCATTGGACGGGATGGACTTAATCTTTGTAACAGCTTTAGGAAATGGATGCTGTAGCTACGACCATTTTGCAGGTAAGGAAACTGAGGCTCAGGGAAGTTTTGTCACTTTCCTAAGCCCAAGGTAAGAAAGTGGCACAGCCAGGATTTGAGCTCACCTCTGCCTGGCTCCAAAATCTGACCCCTCATGACAGAACCTTCTTCTAACCCTCCTGGGTTTGAATCTTGGTTTCATCCCTCATGAGCTCAGTGATCTCCAGAAAGTCACTTACCTTTTTGAGCCTCAGTTTTCTTATCTGTAAAATGGGGATGCTGTTAGCCCTTTTCTCAAGGGATTATGGTGAGAATTAAAAGAGTAATATTCATGTAACATGATTGGAACAATACCAGCTCATAAGAAGTGCTCAAAAATATTAGTCATCATCGTTATTCACTTATCAGGTGCCACTTAACAGGAAGTCATCACATTTATCCTTTTATTCATTCATCAATAGTCACTGAGTGCCAATTAAATCCACTCGTCTAGATGCTGCAGATCAGACAAATTCCTCACTTTCCTGGAGCTTGTATTCTGAACATCCCAGCTCCATTTTTAAAATTCACATAACATAAAATTAACCATCTTAAAGTGAACAATTCAGTGGCATTTAGCAAACTTCATAACGCTGTGTAGCCAACAGCTCTATCAAATTTCAATATATTTCTTTTTTTAAAAAAAAAAAATTCCTTTTAAGGTCCAGTATATTTCTAAGAGAAAAACCTGAGCTAATCAGGCAGCCACTCCCCACCTCCACCCACAGCCACTGGCAACCGCCAGGCTGCTTTCCATCTCCGTGGATTTTCCTGTTCTAGACACTTCTCATAATGGAATCATACAATATGTGGCCTTTTGTTTCTGGCTTCATTCACTCCATATAATGTGTTCAAGGTTCATCTCTGTTGTAGCCTATGTCAGTACTGCACTCCTTTTAAGGGCTGCATAATATTCCACTGTCTGTAAATGTCACAGTGTGTTTGTCCATCTGTCCAATGATCAATTCCTCAGATTCTTTGCTTCCCTCTGCCTGAGTTCTCTGCCACGGTTGTCAACCCTGCCATTCAGCCCTAGTGCTCTGTACAAGTAGCCCCTGCCCAGCATCTCTGCTGGTCAGAACGCCTTGTCCTCCCTCTGGAGGAAGCTGGGGGTCACTGGGCAGCTACAGATGAACTCTTGCTCCTTTTATCCTGACCCCTTCCTCCCTCCTTGCTGCGACCTGGCTCTGCCCTCGGTCAAGTCCCTCTGTCTCTGTGCCTCTATCTCCTCACCTGCAAATGAGGATAGTGGCACCCCTGCTCAGACGGAGCCCTAGGACGGATGGTCTAGTTCTCCTGTGTGGGCACAGAGGCAGCGAGGGCTGCTCTCCCCCACCTCCGGGACTCGCTCATGCCCCTCCCACGTGCACATCTGCTGTGCTCCTCAAGCTCTCTCCCGGCTCTCAGGACCCCAGGGGATAAGCACAGGCACGTGCTCTCACATCCCCCCCACCCCCACCCCCTGCCCTCATTTTAGCTTCCACTTCCGCCCAGAGGCAAGCTTGGGACTTCGGGGACCTTGAGAAGGGACACACTCTGGATAGCCGCCCAGCAAAACGACCGGCTGGGGGCGGAGCCAGCAGGGGGCTGGGGGCAGGACCGCCGGACTCTGCGTCTCCCACCCCCTCCTGGCCTGTGCTGTGCCCCCAGTCTCACGGGGACTGGGAAGGAAGGCACAGAGATTTTTAAAGATCAGGTGGATCCCCTGGGGTCCCCTGATGGAAGAATTCTCTCCTACTGTGGTTGCAACTCACCTTTTGGGCTGCAGTCACCCCTCCCCCATCTTGGTTAAAAAGCCTCCGGCTGGAGCCAGCATCTCCTCCTCCGTGGTCCTTTCTTGGACCGTGAACCAGCTCTGCATAGTACTGCCCGCTCTCTGTGGCTTCTCTGTGTTCAGTGACGTTTGGCGATGGCTTTAGAAAGTCTTCTTAACTTGGCTTGGGGAGTTTGGGTGTTCCTCGCCCCCAGCTGAGTCTCCCTAATATCCCAGCCAACAAGCACCAATCCCCATTTCCTGGACAGGGGCCCCCCTCTCCTGAGTACACATACTTCATGCCGTCCCTTCTGCCTCACCACGCTCCCCTGGTGTCTGGGGGGTTCAATTCCTAACCCACCCCTGCTTGCCCCACAGCCTCCTCAGAGCTCTCAGGGTTTGGGTTCAAGGTGGGGAGGGAGAGGAGGAGGAAGAGGCCCAAAGGAGAGGAGGGTGGCAGAGAGAGACCCGGCTCTCGGGGCAAGGCATGAGTCAGCACCGCCAGCACCCCGAGACTAGGACCAGAGGCACAGATGATGGAATTCATGGCCAGGAGGAAGGAAAGGGAGGGAGGTGGAAATGCTGAATGGAGCCGTGAAGCCAGCACTGTGCTGAAAGGGTCAGATTGGCTGCGTTCCCA